CTCAGGAGTGTCTCCCCTCTGCAGAAGAGCTCAGCTTTGAAGCCTGCATGAAGACAGGTCATGAAATTCTTCATTAATTCATCTTGAATTTGAAGATATTTGCTTTCTTTACTTGGCCACCCTATATGTAAAGGCAGTGGGAACCAATTTCCCATGGGAGCAGAAGGAATTGGTGATTCAGAAGCTGCCATATCGTTCACTTTTCACAAGTCGCGGTTAACTCCTGGTGATTTGATGTATGGGGACTTGGCTTTTGCACCTCCACTGAAGTAGGTACCACATGTAGCTTCCTGCACTTGCTGCCTCATCTCTTCTTGGATGTATTTTTGGGCGGCTTGCTATTGCACGAGGTTTATTCATAGACTCTCATGATGCTCATATACAGACCATCCGTACATATTCTCTGCCGCAGCAGATGGTTTCCGCTTTCCGTGCTTTCCACGTGGGGCAGATGCTGCAAAATCAGATTTCCCTTGGGCATAACCTTTGATTGGCATCTTCCTGCCAGCCGCCATTTCATCACCGGTCCTGGAAACGGCTGTGGACTGTCTGTGTGACTTGTACATCTGATGCCTGGGCTAACGTGGCTTGTTGGAGTGTGCTGGGTATCTGACAAGTTATTAGTCAAGCTGTAAAGCATGTGGCAGCAAGACAGCATTACTCAACTCAGCCAGGATGCTTGATCTCGAGATGCAAATATGCTGAAAGGCGTAGTTCCCTGGTGCTAATCCAGCTCAAATGAAGCTCTCTCCAAGAGCAATGGTCCTGCTTTTTGTGGCTGTTCCTGTTCTTGTGTTCACATGCAAGCAAACACCAGGCTTTTTTGGGGGTTGATCCAACTCGTTCCTCAGCCACGTGAGCACAGGAAGGCGATGGGATGGGTGAGGGTGCAGTGGGGATAGGATGGTCCCTTCTGGTGACAGCCTGCAGAAGCAGTGAGAGTTTTAGCATCTTGGGAAACCCGAGGCCGGAGTCGAGCGGCTGCTCGGGAGCGCAGTGGAAGCAGGCAGAGCTTTCAGCTTTGATGTCTGCACTTGCTCTCATTCCAGCCACGATGCTTTAATCTCCAAAATGCTGTGCTAGGTTTTCACTGTGCTCAGCTTGAATTTTTTCCAAGACATCGCACTGCTGAAGCAGCAGAATTTGCCTGTGTATGCCAGTGCAGTGATCAGTCTGTGTTCATCGGGGTGATAAACTTTCCACGAGAGCAAGGGAGGAGCGGGGCCTTTTACATACGGTCAAGCCAAATCACTCAGCAAGACTGAAGCTGTGAAGCAAATTCAGATAATTTCTGATCGCAGCAGCTGCTTTTTCTCCAAAGGAGAACCTGCACGTGTCCTGCGTGGATTTCCTTCCTTTAATGCATTGTTCTTTTTTAACGTCACAGTGCAATTCCTTGTTTAGATGTTATTAATTGTGTTAAACCGATCATGGTTTGTATTTCAAGTGTTGAATTGTACCTCGAATCCTCAAGTTGAGACCTCTACGCTGCCCCACGGCTTTTCATCCTGCGCTCCTTGTACCCAGAGCTGCTCGTCCAGGACAGGTTGCTTCACAGCACCATGGCTTGCTTTGCCTTTTCAGCCCTCTGCTGACACAATTGCTTGCCATTAAAAACCTCGAGTTTGACTGCCCATATAAAAGATGATTTTCCCTTAATCAATCTCTTTCACTGGCAGTGTCCCTCTTCAGTATTTGCAGAGCTACTGGTGATATTTGTGACGTTCCTGCGGTTCACCGTGGCAATGGACGCGGTGCGACCACGTTGCTCATTGCTGAAATCGAGCCAAGCTATATCCTGAATTATGCAGATGGGCTGTGATTAGATAAAATTTTATGCAGATTTTCTTAGACTGCTCTTTTTTACTGTTCGTAAGAAAAATTGATCCAGAGATGCCTGTATCTCAGTTTGCAGAGAAGTAATATTATAATTTATAGTGTTATGTATTATTGAGATTTCAATGAGATATTAGGAAAAATTTCTTCCCTGAAAGGGTTATCAGGCACTGGAAGGGGCTGCCCAGGGAAGTGCTGGAGCCACGGTCCCTGGAGGGATTTAAAAGACAGGGAGATGCAATGCTTAGGGACATGGGTTAGTGATGGACAGGTTATGATTGGATTTGATGGTCTTAAAGGTCTTTTCCAACCAAATAATTCTGTGATTCTATGTATATTACAGCATTTTTATTCTGTCAAAGCCAAGAGGTGCGCTCTCAACTGCAGAGCTGGCAGCATTGCAGCTGAAAACCCTCAGAGGAAAATCGAACCCTAAAAATATGCCTGAAACTACTGATGTCTTCTGTAGGTTGGCACTTAGGATGCTTTTTTCTAATGTTCTTTGCTACAGCTTCACCTTGCAGGAGCTCCCACCTACAGCAGAGCCTTCCTGAGGTTTGAAGCTCAGAAGGGGGCTCCATGGGCTCAGCTCATGAGCTACTCTTGTCTCGCAAGGCTTTGAGTGGGTAAAGCTACCTCGAGGGGTTGGGACCCCAGAGAGCCCCAAACAGTTGTGTGGCTTCCTTCCCTGCATGAAATCCCCATCTTTTGAATCTTGCTGCAATTTATCTTCATACATCCAGTAGGAATTTTAATTTTAATTGCAGAGCTTTCTCTTTACTGGGTAAGGCTGTAAGTGTGCTCCTTTCCCCTTGCTCTGGGAATGAGATTCTTCACCTTCCTTAGGAGCCTTTCTGCAGTTTTATTCTCCTGCATTCCTTAATTAGCACACTCCTAATCCGAGTGGTTTCCTGCCTGATGTGCGCTTTTCAAGACTGTTATCCTGATGTACAGATTGTGGTAGAAGTACTCACGGTATATGTACCTTGAATTTATAATGCTCTCAGTTTAAAACTTTCCAAAGGATATTCTGTTATTCTCTTCTATTATTCTCTGAAATACAGAGATGGTGATCCTGGTATTAGAGGAAAGGTAGGGAAGTCCTCATCAGGTTTTACTGAAAATCAGCGGCTCACCAGGACTTACTTCAGGAGCCAGTGCAATTATTCAAGCCTTTGACACGAAGCTGATGGCATTACATTTTATCATTTATGTTGGTCTGGGGATATTTGAAAATGTTCTGGAGCTGCCTGGATCTATCCCATCATTGTTTGGCTTTCTGAATGGCTTCTGCATCAAACCAACCTGTTTTCTCAGAGGACTTTATTGCTGTTAATGCTTGCTCTCATGTGAAGCTCTGTGAGGAGCAGTAGCCTCCCAAGACCAGGTTGAGTAAATGTTTTACGTAGGACATAAAACTCAGGTCAGACTGGGAATTCCTGCAGTACTCTGTAATACCTCATTAACGCGTCCTGATGACTGATACCCAACGTGATTCCCCAAGCATGCGAGTTAACAAGATTAAAACCATCCTACGGTAATCTTTGTCAAGCTGCATTTTGTTCTTTCTGGAGTAAAGTATGGGAGCATGAGTTCTGTAATATTTGAGCTTTAGTAATCTCAGCGCTGCAGTTGTTGTACTGTTGGCAAGTTGATGGGTGCCATCGGGCAGATTAACGAGGCTTTCCTAGGTCTGTAGTAGGACTTTGAAGTTATGATGTTGCTGACACGCTCCAGCCTCGGTGTTCCCCTGTTTTACTGCCTTGACCTGGGCTGCCCCAGCACGCCACAGAGCAGATACGAAACCATGCAGTTTCACAAGCAATTTAATTCTGGTGTCTGATAATTAGGGAAGTTTGTTGCTATTTTTAATATCACTCTCTTATGTAAATATAGGTGTGTGTATGCATTTACTTTAAACATGCTGTGAAATTCATAACCCTTATCCTTTGAGGTCTCATGCTTGCAGACCTCTGTGCAACTTGGTACCAAAGGCTGCGTACATAGTAGTGCTCCCCGTGCTGAGCTTTCACACTGGACAGGAGAATGTTGTATCTTTGTGTGCTGAAGCAAAGATACTGTTCTGACACAGGACAAAACCCTGTATTTGAAAACAAACCCCTTCCGTTGTGTTTTTGAACTGCTTACCAGTTGTAGACTGGAAATGTATCTTTTAAAAAAGTGTTACACAGCTTGATCCTGATGCTGGGATGCCAAGCACCTGCGCTAGATGCTGAGTAGAAAAATTTGCAGTTATCCCTGCACAGAATTCCCCCTGCATGGGCTGCTCTGATTGCTCTTTTTGACTAGAAGGTAATTCAGGGAGCGCTGTGCAGCACAGCGAGTGTTCAGACACCAAGGCTGGGTTGGGTTTTTATTTTTTCCCCGTTTCTAGAGCCTTTCAGAAAGCTAATCCACGCAAAAAGCCACTGTCAGCTGAGTGTAAATATTGCCTACTCTTGCTGAGAAATCTGCTGCTGAGGTGTTAGGTGGGAAGGGGAGGCTCGGACTCCTACCAGTTGGGTGCCGAGTTTTGTGTGTGACTTAGCAAAACCGTTTGCACATATGCTTAATGCCTGTGATTGCTTATTTTCACATAGTGATGGGTCAAAATGTAAATCATCGCTCTTTTTTAAAGGAAAACTTTTTTTTTTCCCTTTTCTTGTGAGTATAATAAGTGTAAACTTAGTGTAAGGTTGTGCTAAAAACCAACAACTATGTATTACATTGGTTGAAAAAGCAGCCCTTTTTTGAACATGCCTCCTTTTCTGCAAGGGCTACCATCTTCCCAACTCCTCAGATGACTGCCAGCCCACGGTTGGGGTTGCACTCTGCCTGGCATTTAGTGCAACGTCGGGAACTCCGTGTCTTGTTACATGAAGTCCAAGTGTTCACGCTGCCAAAGCTGGCCACTTTCATGTGGTTGTGTTATTGCTTTGAAATCCCTTTGTCTATTCAAGGGTGTAGCTGAGCAAAGCCTGCACTGATTTGGCCTTTGGTTCATTCCCAAACTGAAACTTATTTGCTTGCTGGGCAAGATCAAAGAGAAAGGACACTCGAGAGGTAAAAATAAAGACTCTGCCCAGCAAAAGATTTACCCATAGGAGGAAGGGGATTAACATTGTCCTGTTGTTTGATTTAAATTCTTTCCGTATTCTTCCAGCTGAAGGGCTTCCCCAGGTGTATTACTTCGGACCGTGTGGAAAGTACAACGCCATGGTACTAGAGCTGCTTGGTCCTAGCTTGGAAGATTTATTTGACCTCTGTGATAGGACGTTCACTCTGAAGACGGTATTAATGATAGCCATCCAGCTGGTGAGTAACAGAGGGCAGGACTCTGCCCCACAGCCTCCACAATGCCGACTCATGTTTACGTCAGTCCTGGGTTAGCTGAAGGATGGGGTTGGTTCGGTGTGAGGTTCAGAAGTGTCGGTTGGTTGAAGGGAGAATCTCCTTCTGTGGTAGAATCACATAATGGTTTGGGTTGGAAGGGACTTTCAAAGGTCCAGTCCAACCCCCCTGCCATGGGCAGGGACACCTCTTACCAGACTGGGTTGCTCAAAGCCCCGTCCAGCCTGGCCTTGAACCCTTCCAATGATGGAGCATCCACAGCTTCCCTGGGCAACCTGTGCCAGATCATCGCTGCCCTCATCATGAAGAATTCCTGTCCAGTCTAAACCTGGCCTCTTTCAGTTTAAAAACGTTGCCCCTTGTCCGTTCCCCACAGACATTGGTAAATGTCTCTCTCCATCTTTCTCATAAAAGAAAGTTTGTCAGGTTTGAGAAAGACTCCTGCTTACGAAGGGAAGGTCAAATTATGCTTATGAGCAAACTTGCTCCTTGCGTAGCAGAACCAGTGAAGCTGGATTCCTATGGACTTGTGTCCCGTGTCCCCTACACGCCCCTGCCCCAGTGTCCGCCCCAGCTCCCTCCCTCTGTTTGGACATTCCCCAGAACATCTAATTTCTTACCCGCTCCCCAGGACACAGGGAGCACGGCACCCTCCCACACTCCTACCAGTTTTACTGGTTTGATGCTACCAGGCTTGCTCATGGACTGAAACCTGTCGGAACGATGGGAGCTGAGCTCTCCCTAATCAAAATGCCAGCATACGAGGTCTCTGCCTTGGTCAAATCTGGACAAAATTGAAAGGAATAGATCTATGGATAGCATCACAGAGTCTCTGATTTGCCTCAGAAGGAAAGGAAATCAAGCCAAAAGTGGTAGCTTGGATTTGTGTCTGGGTTAAAAGTGGACAGCATGAAAACAGAACATACTGAATGTGGTGAGTGGACTTCCACAAGTGGAAGGGTAGAGCCAATCAGTTATCATTTTAGTTTGGGTTTCTGGTTTTCAACCTATGGTCTGCAGATGCCCGAGTGGCACAGCAGAAGTGGGACTGTATATTCACATTAACAGATCTGTGGATGGAAGTGTTGAAGGAAAGAGGAGATGGTAAGGGAGTGAGGAACACAATCCTTTCTAAATAAAGTGAAGTTTGCCACAGCAGAATCTTCAGTGGAAAATTGAGGTCACAGATACAGAAGTTTAAACAGCGCCTGCCAGGTATTGTGTTCATTAAGTTGTGCTCCTGCAGCTGAGGGTGTAGTTTTGTTGGCTTTGAGTGCTCCTTCATCAGTGGAAAACCAATTTATAGTATTGTTTTTGATTAAATCAAATGTCATCAGATGGCAACGCCTTGGATATAGCTTATATGACCTGTTGGTTGTAAAGATGTAAATTTATTCCCGTGAGACTGCTGGGGAAATCAAGATTGTCACAGCAGGTTCCATCTGCCTTTTGCCAAGCCCTGGGGTTGCAGGTCAGCTCTGTACATGGACGCTCTTCACCGGCATCCCGTGCTGATCCGGTGACCTCAGCTGGCCTGCCACCTCCTCTAGACACTGGTAGCAGTTTGGGAAACAGATGCTTTGGGTGATGCAAGGGGACAGCAAAAGCAATGGCAAATGGAGGAGTTGATGTTCTCCAAAAGGAGCAGGCAGTGCTGCTCCATTTTCCATGGGGAGATGTTGCGGGACCTTTCCAGTCTTCTCAGGAAGATTACATGAGTTACCAGCTTGGAGATTTAAGGAGACAGATGAGGCATCGTCAGGTGTGCCCCACCTCCTTCCCTGGGGGCTTCCTGGGAGAAGGGCTCAGCTGGCCCTTGGAGATGTTTTCTGAAGGGGCTGGCACTTACTGCTCGGCTGGAATGAAAACTCATCGCTCCAGCCACAAGGCTTTGGGGGAAATTGTCCTGGATTTATCTTAGTTCCTACACTAAATCATTGCAGTCACTGTGCACGCTCCAGTGTCACAGGCACATCAGAGAAGGAAGGTTGAACTGTCAGATTCAGTGGGTTCGCCTCCATAAATCATGTTTTGTTCTTGCTTTTGACCAGCCAAGCCTGCTTAAGCTGCTGTAATTCTGACCACAGGCGTGAGGAGACACAAGGCTTCACTGCCAGCAACCAGTGTGTTACACAAGCAGCGTTGCTCTCCTGTGATGCTTGACCATGCCTGTTAATGAAGCCTAATTCCCAGGGAGACTTCCAGAAGTGTGAATGGGCCAGCACCACCCAGAGAGCAGAGAGGAGCACCCTGCCCTGATGTAGAGAGTGAAGGACAACTCAGCACGTTGCAGAAAACTGCTACTCTGGCTCGGTTCTCACGAAAATGTCATCAAATTATATATATATTTTTAAGCCCAGAAAGACCACCCAAATGTAAAGCAGGTCTGCTTGTCTGGGAGGCCCCACTGCAGCATGGAGCTCCCAGGAGATGACCCCGATGCTGGGAGTTGCCTTGCATCTCCTGCCCTGGGCTTGATCCCCTCCAGAGGGGGAGGAAGGAGTTGTCTGCCATGGGTGCTGCACTGGCAGCTGGCATGCCCTGAGCTGGTGGGATGTTAGGTGTCCACCCCGTCGTCCCCTGGGTCCTTCTCCCCTCACTCGCTTGTGATGGTCCCCGTGTCTTTAGGAACATCCAGTCCCTTCCCTGATGTTTGCGTTGTTCCTTGCTGCTGCCTGCCGCAGGCTCAGCCCAACAGCAGCCAGCAGCTGCTTTCCAGGTCCCATTGAGCTGCCTTCTCTCCCCCCTCTCCCTCCTTCAGCCTGACCGCTGCTGCAGCACATCTCCGACACATCCACACGTGTGCTGCGTGTTAAAACTAGGCAGGAACTTTGCGTGCAGTATGGTGGCACTTGATCTCCTTTGTTCTGTGCTTGGCGATCCATTTTTAACCAGAGGCATCCCTGAAAGATATTTTTTAGTAAGCATACGTGCTTGGCTGGTCTTATTTAGCTTGACAGGACTTGGTTGGACTCATAAACTCTACAGATGTTAGAAGAAAGAGAAGCCCTCTAGGAGAAACAAATATATCATCATTGTTTTAAGGAGTGACGCTTGGGATTGTGGGAGAATTTAAACATGGTTTTACATCAGGAAGACTCTCCTGGCTGAGGGATATAGAGACTGGATGATAATGAGTCTTCAAGAAAGAAGGAGAACCCATCTCATCTTTTCAGGTGAGATGATGCAGTAGAAAGGTCTGCCTCGGCAGGGGGATGAGCCACACAGCCCTCAGGTTTGTCACCAGGCTTGCATGTTCTTCTGGTAAGCGTGCATTGTGTTCAGAGCTGTGGCAGCCGTAATCAAACATGGCTCGAGTCGAATCAGAAGCGCTCTTACTCTAATGCTCCGTTTCACACCACTCAGTGAAAACCTGCATTGACAGAGTCCTCTGTTTTCCTTCACCACTGGAGGTTTTCCAGCTGTTACTCCTCTAGCTTTTGCATCGCTGATGCTTCACGTTGCTCTGCTAAGAACATCAACCTGGAACTGCTTCCTCCATTCTCCGTGTGCAGCTGAAGAGATCGAGTGGTCGACGTTTCTCAACGTAGCAAAGCTTGGCAATTGGAAACATGTTCACTGACATGAGTCCCTAAAGCCCATAAATCAGAAGTCATCTTAGGGCTTTGCAGATCTGTCTTGGTGTTTGAGCTGGGGGAGAATAACTTTTTATTCTGGCTTCAATTTTTCACTCTTGGCCGGGTCCAACATGTGCGATGCTCATTGACAACTCAGTTTTGTCAGGAGTAAATGTTATTTTCACCCTTGCTTTAAGGGCTTGCTGTCAGAGACAAGGCCCCTGTGCAAATACTTCTGGCTGTGGTCTGGCCCAAGCCATGGTGAAGTTTTTTACTCGTGACCATCAAAATTGTCTTGCACAAGAGATGCCAAAGCAGCCTTTAAACAGGAGGAATTTTTGGTCCCTGCTGATCTGATCTATATTCAAGCAGGTGATGTGTGGAGAAAGGGCTCGGATTTATCAGGAGGGCCTAGAAGTGGGCTTGCCAGCGAGATCAGATCTTCAAGAGTTAACTTTCTGGGGAAAGAGGGTTTATTACACTTACTTCCTTGACAGGAGAAAGGAAAAAGCATGGTTTCTTCGGCATCTAATTAAATGTCACAAATACCCTCTCATTTCCCCGCCACAGCACAGTGGTCCTGCTGTGTGCCAGGGGATGCTTCGCCCTCCTAGAGGTTTCTCCAGCATCTTAAATGGAGATCTGTGGCTCCAAAGATGGACTCAGCCAGCTGTGGCCATGGAAATCCTGCTTTAATTCGCAAGCAGTCTCCTGTCCACCTCTAGTGTTCCTGTGCCCTGTGACAAAATGCCATGGTCTGTTAAAATAACAGGGCAGATGTTAATGCTGCTTCATAGTCACTGTTTTTCCAGTGTAAAAGCCATTCCAACAGTTAGTCCCAGCTCTCTGCAGTGGTGACTGTCTTGTCAAGGTGAATAAAGCATGGAGCCTGCTCCAGGAAACGTCTTTCTAACTCGTAGAGCATCTTTCAGCCATCATTGGCTGTGCACGGCTCTCTGGCAGCACATCATGAAGCATCCAGGCAGGTGGAAGGAAAGAAAAAGGAAATCAAAAGAAAAAGGAATATGAAAGACCCAACGGCATCTGTGTGCATGTGCTGGAAGCAAAAAAAAAAGCAGGTAAATGAGCATCTCCGAGTGCTGCTGGAGTGTATCGGCTCATCGGCCATTTCAGCTGTCCAGGTTGTTGTCCTGGCCAGTTCGACTTGCTGTGAGATTTTAAGGGGAAAAAAAAAACCAAAACCAAACACTTTTTTCAGGTTGTGTAATTGCTGTTGGCCGTTTCAACAGCGGAGCTTCTCTGGCAGCAGAGACAAATCAGATGAGCCAGTCAGGCTCTGTTTGAAAGCTCGTTATGGATGGAGAGGCGAGGAAACGCTTTGTTCCAGTTTTAAGGGTTGCATCTTAATCTGAATTGCCTCCCGACATACCTTTTTGTCTTCCAGCCTGCTGCTGTGTCTTGTAGGTGATTCAAAGTGTGAAGAATGGCTGAAGTGCAGAGCAGCTGCTCTGTTCTGCATCATCCTATAATTGATTAGAAATAATGGCTGTTAGCTGTGAAACCCATTTTCTCAGCGCACTGAAATAAATCACTACTTAGAGGGGAGGGGAGCGGCGAGATGTGTGGTTATCGTCTTTGAAGAGCCTTTGAGCAGGTCTTATTTTTTAAGACTGGTTCACCTGCAGTCAATTTTTTCCTGTCTCTCGCCCTCCCTGTGCAGCTTTTCTATTTTATAAGGAGCACTGCCCCCTCCTGCCTGTTGCTTCTTTCCGAGTGGTGGAAACGCAGCAGGTTTGCCTTAAGAATAAGGTTTCTGATAAACCTCTGACAGCAGGATAGAGTGATCACACCCGTGCAGAAGTGTCTTGCAAGTGTGAACCCGGTGCAGAACCTCTCAGGAACCAGCGGCTTCCCGCAGGGCGCTCCCGAGGGGTCACCAGCCAGCGGCTCTCCCCTTAAACGTTCGCTGAACCTGCTCGCAGCGTGCCGTGAGGTCCACCACAGCGGCGCGGCAGTGACCTCTGCGGACTGACACTCGTTAGTGCAGAACTTGGAGTTTGCGATGGTTTTGTAGCGTTGCAAGCCCGCGGGCAGATGGGTGATGGCCTTTCTGAAGAAGCAACTTGCTTAACAAGGCTGCCGTGCATGCAAGGGCAATCGTGGGCCGAACAGCCATGAGTGACAATTCACACGTTGTCATTGAAAACCTATTGAAAAATATAAAAAGGTAACAAATTAAATTAAATTGTGAATTACTTCCAATTGGAATCATCTAATAAGTTAGGAATCCAAAGGAGAACTGCTCGCTGACCTATTTGAACTTCATCTGTGGTATATTAAGTTTCAAAAGCAATATTAATGATAAACATTTCAATCAGGTGCGTTGTTAGAGGGGAATTGGCTCCCCATCATCTTGGAAGCGGGATTCCTTCCCTTTTACCTTCCCTCCTCAGTTGTACTGCCAGAACAAAGTTAGTCAAAAGCTGAAAAATATTCCAGCTATTCCTAGTAGTAACCAATGAGATTAATTATTATTTTTAGTCAGCACTGAGGATTGTAAAGCTTCCACCTGCCCAAAACTCCCCCTCCGTAAAGAATTTGGCGTGTCTAAGACAACATATGGGTCAAGGGAGGAAGGTGGTAAGACAGAGAGCAACAAGGGAAGGCTGTGGGCAAGGGAAGAGCTCCTGGTAACCAGTTTAGTGTGTTTAAAATCAATACACAAAGGCTGCCGCAGTTCCCGGTGGAATCCTTCCAGGCTGTGTCCCGTTGGTAACGTTTCAGAAACAGCCTTTGCAGTTTCTGCTGGGATGAATTCAGGGAGCACAGCACGGTAGCTGGAGAAAGGAGAGGATGACAAATTCCTCTTCCAACTCTGCATCAGAGGACACGACCCAGCTTCTGCCTTGGTTTGCTCCATCTGTTGTTGTGTTTCTCGTAGCGTAGCTGGAGCCTGAGATAGCACCGAGCAGAGGCACAGTGATGGGCTAATGAAACCTTGCTGCCTTGATAGCTGGGAGAGCACAGTAGCTGGTCTGCTCATGAATAACCTTTCCTTCATCCTTTTGCAGATCTCTCGAATGGAGTACGTGCATTCAAAGAACCTCATCTACCGAGATGTCAAGCCAGAAAACTTCCTAATTGGCCGGCAAGGCAATAAGAAAGAGCACGTCATCCACATCATAGACTTCGGACTGGCAAAGGAGTACATTGACCCAGAAACCAAAAAACACATACCTTACAGGGAACACAAGAGCTTAACTGGAACGGCAAGATACATGTCCATCAACACTCATCTTGGCAAAGGTCTGTGTGGTTGGTGGGAGCTCACTGTGCCAAGACCTGTAGACCTGCAGTGGTAGCGTGGCTTACAGCTCTTTCATGCCCTTCAAGCTCTTTGTAAGCCACTTGGAGCCGTGATGCTGTTTACAGTTGTGAGGCTTTTTTTCACCCTCCCTTTTGAGGAACTGAAACAGCTGAAATGTTGGAAGCCTCGTAATTATAGTTTTTATTAGGAACTAAATAACTGGTAGCAACCCTGCACTGATAAAAGGCAAGTAGGCGGGTGGTAATTGCTGCACTAAATGATGACCAAATAGATTTTTTATAGCACAGCTCTACTGGTAGCTTCCAGTTTCAGGTGTTAGAGTTGTATGTTCCCTGACCTAATAATTGGTTGGAGAATATTAATGACTTAAATACTTTTAAACCTAGCTTTCTTATCCTCTCCTCACCGCTGCCTTTCATACCAGATTACATTTCTGTGGCTGAAAGGCAAAAAATCTTATTGAATGTCTGTATTCACTTAAACTCCTAAGAGCAGTTGGAGGAGCAGGATAATGGAATATTCTTGGAGTATCCTCCCAGCTGTGAGATCAATGCATCGATGGCTTTTGCGTCTCTTGGAGAGCTGCTCTTTGGGGAGCGAAGAGGGATTGACCCAACTTCTAGTTTTGGAAAAGCTGGTGAAGAGTCAGGAAGGGCTGGATGAATGAGAAACTGCAGTAGGGGCAGGCTTGGGAGCTGCCAGTGATGTGCTCTGTGGGTGGGTTCGGAAAGAAGATGGGCTTGCGTCTGAAGTACACCATGGGCCTTCTTTACGGCCCATTTCCCTGCAGGTTCTGCAGCTCACACCATGGTAGTTCTGGGCGAGTGTATTTGAGGAGAAGATTGGCTGCCGGCTGTGTGAGGGGCTGTCTCTGCCCAGAGGGGGTTTGTGGGGCTGGTGCTTTGCTGGTGAGGCCAGCCCAGGTGGGATCAGTCGCTTCGTGTTTCAGGACTGAGCAAAGTGAAGGAGCCTGATTGACGTTTTTCTGAAAGACAAGTGCGCCCAACCATCTTCCTGAGAATTTCATCTGCATCATTGCACTGAATTACCCAAGACATCCTGGGTTTTTTTCCCCTCTTTACAGCTCTGTCAGGGTAACCTACAGGAACTGTCATCTCCATTCCCTTTTGCCGAGTGTTCTCATGCCCAGCAGCTTTTGAGGGTTAAATTTGCTGCTGCTTTTGAAGGAGAGTCACACTGTGCAAAGCGCTGCCTTTTTCTCCTCTTGCAGCTGATGCAGCATCAGGCACAGCTCACATGCAGTTTGTTGTGGCGTGTGGGCTGTGTGGCTTGATCTGCTCCGGATTGTGGCTTCGAGCAAGTTACCTGCCTGCAGGTGGAGGTTTGGAGGAGAGGAGGTTACATCAAATCGGTCTGTGAGCTCCGTGTACCCAGTTCCGCACGATGGCACAGCGGCAGTCCCATGCTGTTGTGCTCCAGATTTTTTGTTCTGTTTTGTGTCCTCTCGTGGAATTTTTTGATACATTTTGGTAGAGTATTTTAAGGATACTTTTTCCTTCGGCTTGAGGCCCCTTTTTACCCTTCGAAACATCTGCATGGCAATAGCAGCAAGCATTTCCCAAGGAAAAGCAGTGCTAGAAGGAGCTATTTTTGATCTGCTCTGATGTGATGAGCTGCAGAAGCGTTGAAAGAGTTGGCACTGTACAACGTGGTAGTTCCCTGCAGCTGGTTGCAAGCATCTCCTGCCTGTTCCTGCGTGGTTCGGAGGAAATAACATAATCCAGCACCACATTGCAGTCACACCATGGGCACTGGCAGTCCAGCGGAGAAGTGGAGAACTGCTTGCTTCCTCTGCAGTTAATATTTCGACCTCTTATCCATTCTACCTAAAGCTATGCAGTATGTTACAGTTCCTGTGTCTCTTGTGCTGATCTTTTCTTGATGCATTTTATGAGTTCTTGTAACAGTTTCCAGGTATTTTTGTACAAGGTCTGAGCTACAGGCAGCAGATGAACTTCCCCGTGATAACTTTATCTCAGAAACAGGTGTGGCTGCTGATAAGATCTCAGATCCATTTCTGCAGCTGCACCAACAATTTGTCATCTCTTCTGTTTCAGAGCAAAGTCGTCGAGACGACTTGGAAGCCCTCGGCCATATGTTTATGTATTTCCTCCGAGGCAGTCTGCCGTGGCAAGGATTGAAGGTAGGTTTGAGTTTTAGGTTTTGCCCTTTGAAATTTTGTCTGGTCTCTGCCTAAACGGGAAACTGGTAGGGAAACCTTTACAAAATCCAGCCAGAAACGCCGTCCTCTCCTTTGTGTCCTTGAAGTGTAACGACAAGGCGTTAGCATTACCTGCAGGAAAGATTTTAAGACAGTAATGTGTTACCATTAGCTTAGCTGAATTGGTACAGCTCTGGAGAGAAGATTCAGGAGAGGCAGATGAGCGGCTGGGACAGGAACAGCAACGAGAGAGCCGTTGAGCTGTTGGAGCAGCTTTGCTGCAACGCAAAGCTGCCTGGAGCTGGAGCGCGACTGGAACACAGTGGTTGTTTATGAAGTTCCAGTTGCGGCACACAATCCCCCAGCTGCATCTGTTAAGCGTGTTTATAACGGGAGCAATTTGATAGTTCTAGATGTGCAGATGGACTTCAGCTTGAAAAACTGGTTTTCTGGCAGAAGTGTTTCAGCTTGGCTTCCCTCCAGAGACGCTGGACACTCAGTGCTTAGAAGTTTATGAAATGTCATGTACAATGTGGAGGGCTGCAAGCAGCTGAGTTACAGCAAGTGCAGCTAACATCCGTCAGCTGAATTAACTGGTAGTAAGTCACTTACAGCTCTCTGAAGCTGTTGGGAGCAGTGTCTTCACTTCTCCATCACTTTCCTGATGATTAAGCTACTGTGTTCAACTCTGGAATTGCAGACAGTGAAGGGATTGGATTTGATCAAATTAGGAGAAGGTTTATTAATGACAACAATAACTCCAGTTAGACTGTTTGAAAAAAGAGACAAGCTTCTGGGCTTGCAAGCTGCTCTGCAGAGTGCTGCAGTGGGCAGTGGCAGTGGCTTGCGTGGTAGACCTTGTTAAGCTGTTTTGTCACCATCTATCCAGAGTTTGTCTAAGCTAAGCCTTATCATACATGTGCCAGAAATGTTGGCGACAACTCACAAAGGCAAAGAAAGGGTTTTTCAAGCATGAAAGTGGTTGCAAAAAGAAATCAGAATCTCACTGACTTCAAGTTCACATCTCTGTAAGTGTGTGTTATTCTATTACTGGTTGGTTGATATTCTATTATTGATCTATTATATTTGGTTTTGGATTAGTCGAACTCCTTTCCCTTAAATTAACCCTGTAAATGGTTCAAAAATAATTCCAGATTTAGACAAGACTCTACAAAATTTTTGTAGTTCAGTGCTGAATTTGATAAGAGTTAGTTGACTGCTTCTTGAAGTCCTGTATTTTTTCGGCTCCAGAACACAGATTCTTCAGCTTCATCTAGGATACAGCCTCTTCATTCTGCTAGGTTTTCTGAGCTTACAATTTTGGTCTCTACTGTTGGAGTTAAAGTCTTGAGAGAACATCTTACAATGTTAATTATGCTGCTGGCAGGTCTAATAGGCGTATTTTGAAATGGAGGCAATAAAACCATTGTTAGAATGTGGACCGGAGCACGGTTCTCTGCTTCAGAAGGGATTTAGGTTGGAAATCTAACTGAAAATTGTTTTATTTTTCTTTATTACCAGCTGTTTAGTCAGTGATAGACACTGTGGGGGTGAAAGGAGAGGTAGTATGGGAGTAGCATGGGATTTGGGAGAAGTATGACTGATGTAAACTCGTTGTCTGTGTGGTGGCATTCTATTATATGCAGTACAAACCCAATGTGTCCCAATTGCCGTTGCAGTTTATCCACTTTTACATTTTTTTGTGAAGGTGTTGAGGTTGCCAGTGGCTGTAAGCCTAGGATTGATGTGCAGTCATAGCGTATGCAGCTTTATTTTCTTGGTCCGTGAACTCTTCCCTGTACAGCCCTCAGGACTGGGCTGGTCAGAAATTGGCCTTCTAAGACACTTAACAAGTGCTCTTCCTTACAAGCACTGAAGAGGTTTTGAACGTGTCCTTGGATATTCTTTGCCAATAGCGTGTCAAACATGTAGCAAGAATTACAACAGGATAGGATAGTATTCTTTGTAGTGTAGTCCAGGGTGCAGTTCAGTTACAAGCAACATGCTCTGATAGCACCCAGAATTAAATACCTTGTTTTTCTTCCCATACAGCATGTCGTTTATCACATGGTTGAACTCTTTCTCCACAACTGTTTTGTCTTTGTGCGCTACAGGCTGACACCTTAAAAGAGAGGTATCAGAAGATTGGGGACACAAAGAGAAACACTCCAGTTGAAGTTCTCTGTGAGAACTTTCCAGGTAAAGCCCCGATGGGACCATTTCAGTGCAGCTGGACATACCTAGTTAAATATGATGGTTCTGAGCTCCTCTGTCAGAAAGTATTTGGGTGATGTGTATCAATTATGTTGTTCCTCAAGCTGGCAGACAACTGGAGCTGCTGCTGTAAATTAGCGGGGCCTGAGGGCTTGTGGCCGTGGGTTAAAATGAGCATAACTCTTCTCAATGAGGATGCCGCACGATGCTCAAGTGCCTCATCTTCCTGCTTTGCTTCTTAGCCTCTTTCCAAAAAAGGACCTCATTATTTGTATAATGAGGCTTGCAAGTGACGGTGTTGGATCTACTGAGTTAATTTTTTTCCAAATGGAAGGTTTTACAGATGTTAAGATTTTAGGTGGCCAGCTTAGAAGGTGGGATGATGTGTCTGTCATTGAATTCCACCTTTGACAGCAATTTTAAGGAGAGTGTCATTCAATATGTGCTTCTAGCCAAGCCCAACACCATTCCTCCAGTTAAACAGAAGTTCACCTTGGAGCTAGGAGAGCAGAGTACAAAGTTAAGTCCCTCCCCAGGTACCCTGTGGCCTTCACAGAGCAGTTTGGTGTTTTGTCTAGGAAGTGAGAATCCTGATGCCAGGGAGAGCACCCAAGTCCCCACAGTCAGCCCCATTCCTGTAGGAGCCATTGTGTCACTTGGCTCTTTCCCAGCATGAAGAACAGTAAACCTGGAAAGGGATCCTTGTTCATGCAGGTCGTGCTAATTGCCCAGATGTATTTGCATCCAAAATCCACCTAACTCCAAGGAGAACAGTTCCAGGTTGTCTGTTCTCATCTTTTTCCCCAGTACTCCTTCCTCAGAGCTTGGCCACACCTGCAGGTCTGAGATGAAGAGATATGAGAGAACTTGTTTCTGTTCCTTGCCTGCCTGAAACGTGTTGGTCCTCCACCTTTCAGAGATAGCAGCAGGAGGAGCAAATTACCTTTCTTGTCTTTGTTTTTTTTGTTGTTTTTTCCTCTTTTACCTCAGTGTGACAGGTGAGCTGCAAGCTGCTGAGTAAAGTATCACTAAGCAAAGCTGTTCTTATTTTTGTCAGCTAAGGACAAAAACCATGCTGGTGTGTCATTCGTCCAGCGGTGCGCAGACTTGTACCTTGTACTGAGCTATGTCCTACCTTGGCTTAGGCATGAGCAGAAGGGAGAGCTGGGAATGGTAGGACACGAGTTAGCAGTGCTCAGTTCTCTGTGCTTGCAAAGTACAACCCAGATGCAGGAAAGCAATTAATTAGCTTAACACAAATGCTGTTCTTTGCATGCCAGGTAAATTAAGGAGCCTCCCTTTCAAAGTCTTGTTTGGAATATTCAGGGCTGATGTGATGACACTGGGCAGCCAGACCCTAAGTTGTTGCTGGAGCTCGGAGGTGCTGTGGGGTGCCCACCAGGATCTCCTGCTTTTCTTCCCCAGATGAAATCGCTGTGGCTGTTTTAAATGTCTGTGTGAACAGACACACACCTGAGCATGCTGTTGGCAGATTCAGTGAGTTGGCGTTTATTGTACAGTGTGGTTTACTGTTCGGTTTTGTACAAATGTATAGACTAAAACTAGTTGCAAAACTCAGAATTGAGGTGGGGCAGCAGCTCTCTGGAGCAGGGATTTCTGTCTTTATTTGAGAAGTGTTTGCATTGGTTTGCATTGTGGACTATTGCTAAAACCACCAGTTTTATAAAAGAGCAGCCAGAGGTAGCACTGACAGCCCAAACAATTCTCTTACAGCGTGATGCTCGATGCTAAAACACAGACCTTGGTTTGCAGCAACTCATTCAGAAGATTCAGTGTAAAAGCAGGCTATTATTAGACTTTGGGCAGAGCAGGAGGGCTTTGGAGAGCTGAGTGCGATTCATCTAGCAATGAGGTCACTGAGGGGGAAGACTTTTTGGATATCCTCAGCTTCTGTCAGTCCACGTGGCTCAGCTGAACTTAGCAGACCCTGGACAACTCACATCACTGGGGATCGGGTCCTTGGTCCAGCTTTGAGCCCAGTGCTGTGGGAAAGCCTCGTTGGAGTTAATTGAGTCATAGAGTCGTTAAGGTTGGAAAAAACACTTAAGGTCACCTAGTCCAAATGTTAATCTAACACTACCAAATCAACCGCTAAACCATGTCCCTAAGCACCACGTCACTGAAATAAAATAGCATGAGGGAAAAAAAATAACGATCATAAGCTTGACTTTCTCAAAAATCTGTAAGCCATTGAATGTGAGTTGCTCTGGTGAGTCTGAAAAGCATTTCCAGTGTATGTGTCCCTCTGAGAGGCTTGAAAATTATGGAGCTCATGTAAGCAAAACTGACGCTGCTGCTTTTTTCCTCTTTTCCAACAGAGGAGATGGCCACGTACCTCCGTTATGTTCGGCGATTAGACTTCTTTGAGAGACCAGACTACGATTATTTACGAACCATCTTCACAGAGCTGTTTGAAAAGAAAGGCTACACCTTTGACTACGCCTATGACTGGGTTGGCCGGCCAATTGTAAGTTGTCCCTGCAAAGTGCAGTGGCTTGCCTTCCACGTGCTGAATCCCCGCCACCTGGCCCTTTGTTCCTGATAATCCCAGTTAATGCCAGGGAGTTTAGGATCAAATATCCCACTTCTGTTCTCTAGCTGACTTGGCTCAACATAGTGAGATGTCCTGATGATGTGTTCAGTGGGCTCTTGCAGTGCCTGGAAGTTTCCCTAAGGGGCAGAAGGCTCCTTCCCACCTCTGGCGGGACATTCAAACCTTATTTTCCCACTTGTGGCAAAGAACAATTTCCTCTGGTCTAGCACAGGATTTGAGATCAGTATCTAAAGACACACATCTCAAAGGAGGAGAGCATCCCTGCTACCTCAGCACCAAATGGTGGAAGACCTCTATGATGGTCAAGTACTCATTGAGATGTATGGCAGATCTAGGCAGGGCTCTGATGGGATGCTCAGTGAAAAGTAACAGCAAACCAGTTCTGAGCTCAAAAGATCTCAGAGCTTACCCTACTCCAGAGGCTGAACCAGCTTTTTCTAGCACACAGCAAGGAAATATGGGAGTAACTGAGCTCCACTTAGCAGTTCTGTGACACCAGAAGGACCATAAGCGTGATCTCGTTGCATCGCTTCTATTGTCAAAACCTATTTATACTCAAGAAGACCTTGGCCAAAAGATGTGTCATGGGGAAATGTGACGGAAAGGTCTAAAGCTCTTCTGCTGGCTGCCTGTCTGACTCACGTCCGTGGTGCAGCCTGTCGCCTGTGCTTCGTGTCGTTCTGCCCATGGCCTTCTTGCCAGTGGCCAGTCAGCACGCCCCAGCAATGGTAAAGGCGTCTGCAAATCGACTGTCACTGGTGCCAGATCAAATGCCTTCAGTGCAAAACTTGGTATTGTTGCAGGTGATTTACCGTCCCAACTATATTTAGCATTACCAGTGTTCACTGTGCCCAAAACAGTTCATAAGAAGTCATTCCCTTTGTGAATCATGATTTCTCTCCTCATTTTTGTTTAATTACTAAGTCAATTGATAAAAAGCCCCTTGTAAGACAAGCGAGCTACTGCTGACAACTGCAGTGGTTGCTATGGAGATTTTGATGTTGTGAGCAGGGATTATGACTTTGGTGAGAATAGAGCAGATGAAGCTTTAATTTTAACACGTCTTGTTTCTGTGCAAGCTTAATTTTTAATAGTGGTAAGATGATGGGATGAGGAAAACAAGCCTGTGTATTTTCAGTTGTAATAATCCTACGTGAGACACATCAGCTGTGATCTGACACCAATACAGGTTCCTAACTATGTCTTTTTAATTAATTCTCATACAAGACATTTGGTGCTGATGTCCAGCATCAAATCATATGTCCATCAAATCACCAGGATTTTATAGCTCTGGCTGTAATCTTCCTTGGTTATTGTCAGTACCTTTGGGCAGTGTTTTGATGTTTTCCTGCTTTTACCCAATGAGAGCCAGCCTGACAAGTTAGATTTGTGCATGCATGTGTTGAGAGAGAGTGCAGCATCTTCAGCATTGGCTTCATCCTATTGAACACCTTGTTTTCCAGCCTACTCCAGTGGGATCCGTTCACGTAGATTCTGGGACGTCTGCAATAACACGAGACAGCCACGTCCATAGGGACCGGCCATCACAACAGGCCCTTCGCAATCAGGTGCGTTGCTCACAACTGCTTTGGCAGCGCCGCATTGTTTGGCACCTCTCAGAATTCCTCTTGGGCCGGAGAAGCAGAAGCCGTATTGTGGCCATTGGAGGTGGCTGGGGCTGATTCTTGCCTTGGTCTGCTTAATTTAGAGACTGTGATTTGAGCAGAATTTTGTCAAAGCAACAAATTGCTGAAATACAGTATCAGCCAGTGGAATTCCTTGGGATCATGAGCCAAATGGAGAACAGTTTGGAATGGGTAATTTTCCTGTCATTTGTGGGTAAGCTGTTTCAGTCAGCTATCCAGGCTGGTCACACTACCTCACCTATCTGGCCAATGTTCTTTTGGATGCTTTTACTCATACCACGTGGACCATGGAGTAGACCAACAGCGGTGGCAAGGGCAGCCTGCTCCCAGCTGCCCTCTCCCCATGGACTTGTGTGGCTGCAATAAGGATGTGAATGTCCCATGTACAATATATCCTTCTCAGGGTGTCCAGTTCACTTCCAGCGTGGGTGTTGGAGAGCGTAAAGGACTGCAAGTGTAGTGTCCCCTGGGGAGGCTGGGCATCATGGTCTGGATGAACTGCCAGGTTTTGCATTTGAATTTCCCCATTTTTGCCTTTCTAGTTGTAATATTTTGTTGGTGTTGAGAGTTTGGATTTTCTGTATTAACAGAACTGATCAGAAGTTCAGTAGATCTCCAACTGCCGGCTCCTAGCTAGAGCTGTTGGTGCTCGTACTTCCCAGTGAGTGGTTCTGGGCTCGCTCTGCTCCTCTAACCGCTGTGTGCCATTCTTGCTCCATGTCTGCCCGCTCTGCTCCCTCTCAGCTCGCACGAGCTGGAGTTCGTGGATGCAGAATCGAGTGTGAGATGTAATAACCTGTCTGGGCTCAGCTTTCCTTGTTCCGTGCGGCTGGGCTCTGAATGTTGGAGCCGCTAATGTAGACTAGAATACGTCTCAAGCCAGCAGCTACAAACAGGATGAATACCTTCGTTAGAAGTGTTGCTTGTAGGAAGTGGGGTTGTTTGAAGCACGTGTGCAGTGCTGTATTTATGCATGCTCATTAGTGTGCACTGGTTTGTGAGCACTAGTAAAATAATCTGCTTTAATATATTGTCCGATTAATGAATTAACCCCCCCTTTTTGGTGGCAGTCTCTAGTTGTCTGCTTTGACAACAGACCTTCATGCTGTGTTCGTGTGAGGCATCTTGTTTCCTTTAACAGACAGTGACACCTGGCTTCATTTTTAAGCGTGTTAGTTCACAAAGTATAGCAATTAACACAAAGAAATCTGTCCTATTCCCAAAATATTATGCAGGCAGCCTTCAGTCCTTGTTCTTCGGAGCCTATCAGGTAGTCTTGATGCTGTGTTGCATGGCAGCTTTTGTCATTCTTTTCTACCTGACCATTACTTAGGATGCTGAATTATTTAATATTCCCAATATGCAGGGAAAATGGGTTTCTTCTTGCCAAAACATAAACAACTGTCTTCCAAGGGATGTTCCTTCTAAGTGTTGAGCAAATGATTTCTTTAAAGGAAAGAGTAGGAAAAGAAAAGAAGTCTAGAGCAGTGAACTGGAGGCATGGGACGAGATTCTCTTTTATAGTATTTGGTTCCCAGTAAAGATGTTGATGAGCAATCTCCTTTTTGTAGCCTTTTCCTCTAGAAGTGAAGATACCTACTATCAAAGATGGGTGAGCCTTGCCCCCTCCATCTTTAGGTGCCAGTCTTGTTTTGCAGTTTGTTAGCTGGTGGGAAGGTGATGAGTGGTAATGGGAACTTGATGCTCTCAGATTTCACGGGCATCGCTTCCTCAGTGTCACTGCTTGGGTTGTGTTTTGGGTGGCTCAGCTCAAGCCTACTTCAAAACCAGTTTATCACGCCCTTGGCTGTAGAGCTAAAAGAGAAAAATCTGGCTCTTGTGGCTACTAAAACCTTTCCTAGAAATTGCTTCCAGGCTCCAAGGCAGAAGTTTGCTTTTCCTAATGTTGACTTAGCATGGTACTACTTCATCGCCTGAGCTAGCCAAGCGACCTGATGGCATAGTGCTTTGGAAGAAGCAGCACTCGGAATCTGTCTAGGTTTTAAAACCTACATGTAAATTCTCCAGTTGTTTGTAATCTTTTGACTTCCAGACATTAAAAAAATACTCCAAGGGAAGTGCTTCTCCTTTGCATGTCACCAAGTATAAAAAGTGTAAGCAGCATCTCAGGCTGACGGGAACAACGTGTAATTAGAAGATTGAATAGGACAAGCCTGGACAAGACCACCTCTAGGGAAATACTACCTGTGAACTGGATTTGGTGCCTGCTTGCAAGGAGGAGCAGCACCCTGGGTCACTCCAGGAGGGAGTCAGAGGTCATGTGCAAAGGGTACAGCAGTGAATGTTTTATGAAATGCCAGGAGACTTCCTTTTTTTAATTCTGCTTCCTTTTGCAGGTGCCTGTAGCTAAGTGACAGTTTGCCTGTTAGCACTGAGGTTTACTCAAAGGTTTTTGGAGTCTTTCTCCTGCATGGAGCTGCTTGCAGTCTTTTTTTCTTTTCTCTTTCCTTTTGTTTTTTTTTCAGTGGCACTGAGCCCTGTGGCTTCTTGCTTGCTCAGACCAGGGCCGGGGCTCATCTTCTGTGGCTGCAGGGAGTAACACAAAGTAGAGCTGGAAAGGCAGGGCCTGAGCACCACTCTTGGGTTATTTCCTCCAGCTTCACCGCTGATAACCTGGTGTTTAGTCACTCGAGTCTCTTGTTTCCTGATCGGTGTCTCTGTTCAGCATCCCTCCTGCCAGGTGCATGTGCACTGCAAGAGCTCTGCTGATCTGCCCTCTCTTCTTTCAAATTCGAGCCTCAGCTGTGAAAGATTTGCTTAAGTTTTCACACGGCGTCCAGGGAGACACCTTTTAAATGTGTGATGTGTCCCATTGGTCACTTCAGGCTTGACTGTGTCCTCTGCTATTGGCCTGAGACCTGTTTGTCCTACACTTCTTAGTCTTAGGAAGCAGTCCTCCAGCTGATCAGTTGGGTTTAGGTGTGCTAAGACCCTCCTAGTGAATGCTGGATGTGCCATCATCAAAGCTGGGTGACCTGTAAGGAGCTTCACATGCAAGTGCAAAGTGGTTCTTCTAATAAAACAAATAAAATTCTAATAATTTCATTGCCTAAAGTTGGGGATAAAAAAGAAACTGTTAGCAAAAGTTTCTTATCTACTTTTCTGCAGAAAACCAAAAAGCCACCAACCCTCTCTCCAGTCAAGCAGGTGTGGTGGATCTTTCCTTTTGCTCTGTACAGGTGAATCACCGTGTGGAACTGGCTTTTGGTGAAATAAAATGTGCCTTTGTTTTATGTTGCAAATATGAGTTAAAAAAATACGTATTTTAGGGAGGTCGAGCTTGTATATCCAACCTTGCTGCCATGCCAAGTGCTCTGGTGTGTGTGACCTGACAGATACAGTTGAACACACTGTCAGTGATTATTTCTGTGCTGAAACTCGTGGAAATGAAGTCGTGTAAAGAAATAACTTCCCAAATAGATCTGAGCTTTCTCTTCCTTTAGCAGCTAGAGGAGAAGAAATCCACTCCTGCAGTGGATTACTGCAGACACCACTGAAGTAAAGTATGAGGTGCACTTGGTAAATGAGAAATTTTATCCCAGCTAAAAGTTTAAATGCCTTGCTTTTGGCAAAGAAACTAACTCACTAACAAACACCCTTTTATTTCTTCCCCTCACTCACCTTTTGCCCTCTCCTCTGTTTCTCTCATGCTTCTGAAACTGTGAGCAGGCATCCTCAGATCGCCGAGGAGAGTGGGAGATCCAGCCAAGCCGGCAGACGAATACCTCGTACTTGACATCTCATCTGGCTGCAGATCGGCACGGAGGATCAGTCCAGGTACCTTTTCCTCCTGACGTGTACAGCCTTGATGTGAGAATCTGTGTGAAATCCCCTGAATTCTCCTCAATCACAGTAACAGCACAGTCAGGAGAGTCATTTCACAAGCCAGTGTAGTCCTGTCCTGTACATAAAATGCTCAAGCTGTGGTTTTGTGGGGCCCAAGCTGTGATGGCCAACATTGTCACTGTTACCCCTTCAACAAAGGTTTTCCTCAGAGCGATTTTGAACTCAGATTTGTCAAATCGAGCACAGAAAGGAGTGTACATTAGCAGGTCTGGTCTATAAAGCAGCCCTCTATCCCCACCTTGGGGATGCTCTTAAGTAGTAGTAAGAGGGAGCTGAAATAAGGTCTGCTGCATACAAACACCATAAATGTTAGGAAAACAGTTGAGCTGTTCCAGTTCAGGCTTGACAGGGGAGGTTCTGGTCAAATTCCTGCGGCTTAATGGAAGTCTAGAGGTGCCAGACTGGAGAAATGGATGGGGTGGCTGGTGCGAGTGGGCTGTACGGCCACTTCTCCCTCCGGAAGGAGAGGAGACAGGCTGAACTGCCACTGCAGTTGCAGGGTGTGGTGATTCTGTTCTCTTCCCAGTGTCTGTACATTTTAGTTTTGAGTCCAGCAGCAGGCCAGCACCAGCACGAGTGTAAGGGCATGGTGGCTGCAAGGTGGGTCTCTGGGTGATTGCACTGTGGAAGGTGGATGAGCAGAGGATGCGCGACAGTGCCAGACTGCATTAAAGGTGGCACTACAGCCGTATACTTAAATTCCTGAAAAGACTGCATCTGTTTATGAAACCATACCTGCCTCTGGTTGTCACTCAGGCTTCCTAAGGGAGCTTCTTGCTCTGCTGCCAGAGTGAGATGGCCGGACGTGCTAGAGAGAAGATGCAGGAGTCACTCAAGCAAACAAAAACTGTCTGAAATTGCTGGTGAGGTGAACTCTTTGGCAGAGGTTTGCCTGTGAGAGCTGGCTCTCATGTCAGACACAGCACTTTGAAATTGGCTCTGGTGAAATGGGGATTAGCGCCTGGAGTGGGACAGAGCTGAGCTGAGGAGGCAGGAAGCACAGGTGCCCTTAAGTGAAATGCAGATTAGGTTGAATTTTTTACTTATTCCTGATACTTGGTAGGATTAAATTATTTTTTGGCTTGATTAGCCATGTTCCTTTTTTCGTTCAAAGATATTTTACCGAGTAGCAGAGAAACTGAAAGATAAGGAGGAATTAATGTATGTGTAGCTCCTATCTCAGCCGTGTGCAGACGTCAAACCGGTGAAGTGTTCAAGGTCAGGCTGGACGGGGCTTTGAGCGGCCTGGTCGAGTAGGATGTCCCTGCCCACAGATGATCTGTAAAGGTCCCTTCCAACCCAAATCATTCTGTGAGTTCAGTTCTCAGTAAGTACAGAGTAGGTGTTTTTATTCATGTTTTTTATTAAGGGGAATAGTTTCCTTGCACAAAGCCAGCATGAGCTGTGTCCCTTCACAAACAGTGCTCTGCCAGAGTAGCTACAGCAATAAGGTAGTCCTAGTCCTAATTTGACTGGGAGAGTTGCCTACCTGAACAATTTACAAGCCTGTATGTGCCACCATGAGCATTGAAATTCTGCTTATCTGCAGCCAAGAACTGGAAATCATCTTCTGTGCATGGCTGCTGGGCTGCAGATGCTTCAATTGTTTCTCCACAGATGTTCAGCTCGTGCTGAACCCTTGGGAGATCAGTAGCTCCAAGCGGCCGTTTCCTTCAACAGTTGAATTTGCCACGTCAGAATGAATTGACAGCATGTAAAAAAGAGAAGGAAAATCAAAGCCTTTTGTAAAATGAAATTTTTGCAAGTAGCTGGAGAAAGTGTGGGAAGATCACTGGGAATAGAGAGATTAAGTGCTAGCGTTTTGCGAAGTTGTGTGGGAAGTGTGAGGGTCTGGAGAACCTACAGTGTGATGAGTCTGGGAAAAGGGGTGTGAAGAGAACCCAGAGGTTGTCTCCAGAGGAGAGCTCTGAAAACCACATGGGCTGAGTCCTGACCTGTCTTGGCAGAGACTGGCCATGGCACTTGATCTGCAGAAACAGCAGGTACTGAAGGAACTTAAGTATTTAAAACAAACGTGGATAGATGCTTTTAATAGCGAGGACATATCTGCTTCAATGGCTTCCTTCCCTTCATCTCTAGTGGTTAGGGAGAGTCACCAGGAGTACTGGAAAGTGCCTCCCTTCCCCCATGGAAGACACCTCCTTTTACCTTGTAGAAAGGCAAAGAGGTGGAGCGGGAGAGGAACCACACATTGTTACAGCTCTGGACCCAGGAGCAGCTCTGGGTGTTCACAGCAAGGCACAGGAGGCTGTCCTACCTTCCAGGTGGAGTGCGACAGGGCTGGCCGAACCTCAGTGCCACACAGGCTCCTTTGGCAGTTGTTGTGGAATAGAGCAATGATGAATTATCCAGAAAATTATGTGCTCTCCTGGTGAATGCAGAGTTGCCAGCAGCTGGGGATCTGGATGGTCAGCCTTGCAATGAAGATGCTGAAGTAAGCCATAATGTCAGCTGTGAAGCAAAAAGAGATGAGAGATGAGTATCAATAGCTTTTGTGTGAGGACATAATTCCAGAAACTGGCTGTGTAAGACTCTGGTGGCTCTGGAGTGACTTCTTCCCATGGTACTGGCAACCGGACTGAGTTGCTTGCCTGTGAAAGTGTCAGGAGAAAACAATCAACATAATAGAGTTTGTGTGGGTATGTAGGACTGACAAGTAGTCTTCACACGGGTGGCGCTGCCTCCCAAAGACACAAGACCTGTGCTGGGCACAGGAGTGTGGATTAGTGAACGCACACACAGTCCCCTGCCCACTTTTCTACTTGGGATAATCAAGCTGTTGTCTCCAAACCTGGCACATGACTCAAAGGCATCCAAGGAACCTGACAGCCTGCTGTAAGAGGGTGCAAAGAGACAGGAGCAAACAAAAGTTATTCCACGGATTCCCCATTCCCACAGCATCCCTCGTCCAGACAGAGGGAGACGCATCACATGCAAGGGGGCTTCGTTAATGGGGCATTTGTTTGTGTTTCAGGTGGTTAGCTCGACCAACGGGGAGCTGAACGTGGACGACCCGACGGGGGCACACTCCAACGCGCCAATAACGGCACAGGCGGAAGTGGAGGTGGTGGAGGAAGCTAAGTACGTCTGATTTTCAAACAGGCTTTCCACTGGTGTGGTCATTAATCCTCCTCCTGGGAAACAAGTGGGGATGTTTACCCGTGGTGAAGTACTCGATGCTCGTGTCCCATGCCCTTTTCCTTGCATATTGCTGCTTTTGTGCATGGTGCCTTCAGTGCTGCTGCTGCCACTGCTTCTTTTTTACACTTGTCATGGCTAGAGAACGTAACTTTTACTCAGAGCATGTGTTGCAAGATAGACAGTAGCACAAGTACCACAATAATTGTAATTGATTTCAGGAATCCCGGTGAGCATCGCTGGGTCCAAAAGGAGAACATGCTGTGCTCTCACACTGAGAGTGTAGGAGTAGCATGAGCTCAGTGAGGAGACTGTTGGTCAGAAAGTTAACACTTTATTTCTGGCTGCAAGAAGTGGATGCCAGGTATCCAGAACAGTCCTAAAGTCATTCTTGCAGGGAGGGGTAGATCTCTGTGAAGTCTCTTGGTCCAGCTGAGTGAGAGAAACCAGAAGCGTCCCTCCTGCTCGTGGCAAGAGCGTGCTCCCTCTGAGCTGACCTCTCCTCCTCTGTAGCTTGTGGTCAGGAGTGAGAACCGATGTACCAAGTTGCTGCTTTGACCATTTTGGCCTCCTTTGCACACGTGCTGCATCTGGCACCATCACATCACCTTTTGCATGATCCTCAACGTGGGACCTTCTCGCTGCCTCTGAACTAGTCCAGGACCCTGGCAGGTCACAATGCAATCCTGACGCTCCCTGGGCAAGGGGTAAATAGGCCCCGGGGCTGCCTTTGAACTGGTCGGTGCCGTGATGTTGCTTAACTGCCTGGTTACGATTTGACTGGGTGACACTGGTGTCGCTTGTCCCACGTTGTTTGTCTCAGCCGTTGTGGGAACTTCTGTTAGGAATGGCTTGTGGGAGGGTGAAGAGGAAAACTGGCAGGCGTGAGAAAGGGCGTGTTGATAGAAAAGATCCCCAGGTATGCATCAGTCTGAACCCAGGGCTGGTTGTCTTGAAAGTCTTCTGCTTGCCCCTTGGGAAGCACTTGCGCGTGATCTTGCTCGCTGGTAGCTGGCCTGGGTGTGATCCTGGCAGCAACGTGCCCAAGAAGCAGATAGGCCTTCTCCTCCAAGCTAAAGGAGCAAGCCTTGGTTTAGGTGCAGGCTTCTCATCGAGTACGGCAGGGTGGGGGAGATCTTGAGGTGCAACTTGTGCATTGGGGAGTGTTCCTCTTAGATACAGGGAGTGTGGCCTGCAGAGACCACCAGTTTGGCGTCACAAGCTCTGTATTGGTCAGACTTAAGTGGGTCCCCGCCAGGCACGTGGCTTGGTGTTGCTCATAGGAAGGATGGGGCAAATTGCCGCCCTTAACAGTTCTTGCTACAACACAACCCAATGTGAGGTAGAGCCAGCTCTTAAGATGGGACCTTCTCCAGCCTGTTTCTGCAGTGCCTTGTTTAGCAAGGCCAGGGCCCAGACCCCACACTTGTGTGCGGGGGAGACATCAAGACAGGTGAAAAGGAGCACGCAGGGGCCGTGCTGCCCAAGCCTTGTCTCGCAACATGGGGAACTGTTCTGTCTCCTTCCAGCCCTTGTTTGTGTGGTCCCAAATTGGTTTTGGAGGTGCTGGGAAGCAGAGCACGAGCTGCTTTGCACTGACAGGTTTGGGGTATCTTGTAATTCCCAAGTGTACTCCTCTTCATTCCTTTTGTCACAGGGAGGGCCGGTTTCATCTTCCCTTGCATCTGTAATCTGAAATCCCCTCAGATACATGCGGAGGGCAAAGGACTTTTGCATTGTGCTCTGCAGTGAAGTGGGCCAGAAGGAGCTATAAGGAGCTGGAGCTCTGTGTTTCCAGACAAGATGCAATAGCAGGAAGGTCTTTGCCTGGCACTCCCAGTGGGCAGAGGAGCCGCTTCTGCTTTGGGGTACAGTGGAGATAAGCTCCTGATCCTGGCTGTGGGTTTCACTGAAGGGCAGCTCCCAGGCGTAGATCCATGATCTGGCCTTTTTGCTGCTGGAGCTGCAGGGGACAAGAGCAGATTCGTCTTGTGGTGGCCCTGAGCCCCTGTCTGATCCCAGCCCCAGATAAGACCCTCACGGGGCCTGTGCCTTCATGGAGATAGGGGGTGTTTGTCAGAGCCCTGCCAACCCTGAAAAATGTGGCAGTTCTCAGCGGTGCCGTGCAAGGGCAGAGGTGGTATGAGGGCTGGGGGCGGGCGGCGGGCAGGCATGGTGTGTGTCTGCCAGTCTGCACTGCATGTTTGCATGGCTGCAGTGACATGCTTTCATCCCACCTCTGTGAACTAATTGCTCTTTCTTCCTTTCTGTGTTTTTTCTCTACACTCTCTGTAGCTGCCTGAAAATGCTCAACTTGTGGTGAGTCCCTCTCTCCAGTCCACGTGCAAGGGGGAGCGGACCAGACTAGACTGGGGTTGGCAAAATCAAACCGACCAAACCCTAAAAGGCACAAAGTCAAAGCCAACCCAGAGCTGTTTTGATTTTAGGACACTGTTGAGGACCATATGCAATAATGGGGAGGGCGTGGGCTATGCCTGAGTGGCCACATTAGGCCAAGCAATTCGGCTGATCTCTGAACTGATGAATGCAAAAGATGGATTTTAATCCTTTTCTATTTGGCTTACCATCTCCCCCAAACTGTTACATCTGTGAGCAGATAATGTCTAATGGAGTTGGGCAGAGTCGGCACCAGGCTTGCCAAGCGTCTTGCAGGAATTCCTCACGCAGACGGCTTCGAAGGGAAAACCCTGCGCTGGGTGTCAGGGGAGCGGGCCGGCTGCTTCCTCGGAGAGTTTCCTCTGAAGAAGCACGGGCCAGGGCCTGCACTGTTAGAGAGGATGAAAAGACATGGCCGTGGAGGCCTCGTTAGTGACAGAGCCCCTGCCTGGAGAAGGTGGGTGGGAGATGGCTCCTTTCCACAAACCCTGCAGCTGTCGGTTGAGGGTGTAGGTGAACTGGCTTCTCCAGGAAAAAGGGGTCAAGGGGTTGGGATTAGCATCGGTCCAAGCCCAGCTCAGGCGTAGGTACAGTTTTATCAGGGTTTTAAAGCCGCAGCTGTAGTGTCTCAGTCTCAAGGTGTCCCATATGGAGGTGTTCCCTCCCCACCTTGCCCTCTGGGGAAACCATGTACCCAGTCAGGAGAGGGCCATGCAGAGACTCAGACGAGGAGTTTGTCGGTCCCAGAGAGGGCTGATGGGGGGAATTGCTACGGAGCAAGGTGACAAAGCCCGTGTGCGGCGAGGAACGTCCTTGTTGGATGGGAGACTGACTGAGCTCTGCCCTGCTCTCCATAGGCATTGCCTCCAATACCTCTGGCATCTCTGGCTTCTCTGTATGTCGTAGTCTGGGGCTGTTCTCTTGGGCATTGTCTGCATGCAGAGAGATCACGTTCTGTAATTGTCAGCCTGCCTTATTCTTTTATTTTGGTGTTTTGCCTCTGCCTGTCTGAACTGCCAGGACTTCCTTTCCTGAACCCTTCCCTGGAGTAACAGCTTAAAAAGACAGTCACAAGGAAAACCAGCCAGAAGTCAGTCAGCTCCCTTCGTTCGGTGCCCAAGGAAACGAGTGCTGCTCAGCCCTCTTCTTCCCTTACCCGCTGCATGCTAAACCATAACTTGTGCATTTTCCATCCTCCCTCCCCTTAACATCCTCTCCCTTACTCACCGTTGCCCATGTCATGAAGGAAGGTGGCTGCTGTGGGAGAGAAATACTGTGACAGGTTAAAGCAGGAGAGTGTGGCAGATGGCCTGGGGACAATAAGATGCAAGAGCAGTCCTGGGGTGGGGAGGCAAGAGCGCCAGCTATGAGTGGGAGCCTGGGTTGGGTGGTGCTTCAGGCTCCCCGCTGCAAATGTCAGGCTAGGTGGGTAGTGGTGGAGTCACCACAAGTCGCTCTAAACCCGTGTTTCTGCATGGACAAGTGTTTTGCATTCTCTCTCAGCTCACCTCCAAACTGGGCCTTAGGAACCTAAAGAGAAATCGTGGACGTTAAACTTCCCCTGCCCCTTAGTCCTTGCAGGCCAGAGGAATGTGTGGTGAGGGGTGGCTCTCCTCTTGCTGTGGCTGTTTGAGCTCTCCACGTTGTAGGGGGTTTTGGTTTCTCCAGAAGATCTGTGCTGGCAGGCTTGGCTCACAGGGGGGTGGTGGTCACCCATCGCTTTTGCACCCTGTAGTAAGGCTCGTACATCCAGGGGCAAGCACCTTCTGGAATGCAAGTGAGATCTGTTCCTCCAGCTCTGAGAGGACAGAAGGGTAATGCTGACATTTCAGAGCCACAAAGAACCCAATGGAAAATAATTTGGAGAAGTTGGTACAGTGGTTTTGAACGTTTTTAGTCTGACTTGGTAAAAGATGCTTGTAGGAAAAAATGATCTTTGCATTCTCACACCTGCTCTTGGTGCTCAGCCAGGCAACCCCTTCCACCCATTTGAGAAAGTCATCACCTGGGCTTCCCTGGAGATGGCTGTAATGGCAGAAGGAGAAAGACACGTAACTCAGAAGCAGGACTTGCACAGAACAAACACCTTCCTTCTGTGCAGAGGATTCCTGACAGCGGCCTGGGGATAGAAAGGCAGATACGCCTTAAATGCCAAGGAATTCTGCAGGAAGCCAGCAGGGCTAGGAAAGCTGGGTGACTGCTTTCAGTGTCTCCCACAAGTGAAACCACCGCTCTTTTTTTTGGACGTTTTCCTCCCCACCTCAGCCTCCACTATCCATCCTTCTTGCTTCCCCTAACCTCGAGGCGCTGTGCATCTTCCTTGCATCGGATGGGGGAAGAAGCAGGGGTTCTGCATACGGGCGCTGAATGATTTATCCAAGCTCTGGTTATCGTGAAAGGTTCAGTAAAGAAACCTGGTCTCTGAGCCGAAATCTCTTTGGAACTTGTCTTTTAGTAAACAGTGGTGAAAACCGTGTGTCCCATAGCTGGGAAGAGCAGCCAGGGCTCACCGGCCCAGTCCGCTTCCTCTGGGGTTGGGATAGAGGGAGCGGAGCATCTGGATCCTTGTTTACTGCCTTCCCAGATGGCTCCTTGTGTTCCGGCCCCAGTGGAGCCTCAGGAGGGAGTCAGCCCGGCTCAGGGGCTGTGCCCGCTGACGCCCAGCAGTGGGAACCCCCAGCGTGTGGCTACTTGCCTTTGCTGGGCTACCAGTCCGGGCTGGTGGTGTCAACCATCCACCAGCGCCTGCTGACCATGCGGCGGGACAGCAGGTCTGTGCGGGCCTTGGGCTGGGTGCGCGGAGGTACCGTTGCATGCAGCTGAGCGGAGGGAAGCCCGGGGTGGCGGGGGGCCTTCTTGGGGTGCCAGGTGTGGGGCTGACTTGCCTTGTCCTTTGTACCCCAGGTGCTGCTGCTTCTTTAAGAGGAAACGGAAGAAGACAGCTCAGCGTCACAAGTGACCGGTGCCTCCTGGGCCTTGCAGGAACCACCACGCCTGCAGCTCCTGCCCTGTCTCACTGGAAGGGGCTTCTCTTTAGGGGGGAGGAGGAGGCATAGGAGGAAGAGAGAAAAAAAAAAAGTGACATTTTAAACCAAAAAGAGAAGAAAACGTTCCAAAACAAACCACTCTGGGGTGGATCTGCTGAATGGTCTCCCTCGTTCACTCCAAGCCTGAAGCTCCTTTTGGGACCAGGACTGTGGCTGGCTCAGGTCTTGGTCGCCCTGGGAGGGGGGCTGGCTGGCTGACCCTCCTTCCCGTTGTTTACGGTGAAGGCATCGTACACGTAAACCTGAGGACTCTGCTTAGCTCCTGCTCACTTTCCTGCCCCCCTCCCCTGCGCTCTCTGCTCCTCCGTCCTCCTCCCTCCTTAATTAAGTGAAGAAATACCGTAGGCTCGATTGGCTGTGGAGAGGGCAGGAGGATGCGGTGCAGGCAGGAGAGTTGCGTGAGAGAAGGGCCTGACTGCTGCAGCAGTAAGAGACAGGTTCCCTTTTCGGCTCCTTGGGAACAGTTACACTGTAATGTGCAAGCTGTGAGAAATTTGCAATCTACTGTTCCAGTTAGGTTTTTTTTCCGGCTCCCTTGACACCTCCCTCCTCTGACAGTAACAGAGCAATGTGGATTGTTTTAAAGAAGCTGACGTCGTTGCACTTTTTATTATTTTTAGCATTTACAGATGCACATTGTATCTGTGGATCTCTGCGCGGCACGGCGCCAGCGCAGACAGACATTCAGCTGGGAAGACGGTGGGGTGCAAAGAATGCCCTCGAGTGGGGATGTCGACAACATCCGCATGACCCTCGTGCCAGTCTGGTGTTCCCTTGGGCCACGTGCTGAGGAAAGCATACTTGAATTTTCAATCACCCTTTCTAGCTGCCGGTGAATGTCCCTACCATGGTTTCCTACACCGTGCCTGACCCAACCGGCTGGGAGACCTAAGGCCGTAGCCCGGCATCAGCAGGAGGGAGTGGCATCGGCTTTGCTGGGCTGGAGGAGTTTGCTCTGGTTTAAGGGGTAGATCTGGATTCAGGTAACTGGGAGGCAGCCATTTCCCAAAGCGTAAGTGTTTGTTGGTGTGGGCAACTGGGCAGCCTTCTCAAATCCCTCCAGGTAGGGTCGTTGTGAATGAGAAAACTTTTTCTGCGAGAAAACATTAACAGGAGCAAAGCTTCCCCGGCAGGGGAAAGGATACTTCACTGCCTTAACACTGATTTCATCTCCAGATGGTGAGATAGGTTTGACTGGAATAGCCTTCACGTCCTCTCTGCGAGTGCGGGTCTGGGGCACGCGGGACGCCACCCGCCCCGCAGGAGAAGCCACAGCTCTCACGCACCGGTTTGAGCCAAACCAATAGCTAGCAAAGGGCTTGGGGCACTTTGCACACACGTCAAAACAAAACGAAACAAAACTTGCATCTTGCTGCAGCGTTTCCAAACTCGGAGGAGGCTTGAGGCTGCCTGGAAGTTACCATAGATGCGGCAGGACTGTGGGAGAACTCGAGCAGCTTTTGGGGAGGTTGTGAATAGGTTCCTTGTACTTTGCCTTTCCATGTGTGACATCTGACCAGACTGGGACTGTTCACTTGAGGAACTTTGTTTGTCATAGGCTCGGGCCTGGCTCACCACAAAAATCGCGGAGAGCATGAAGGGAGGAGAGAGAGAGAGACTAGATCTCATTATCTTCTGTGGTTTTTTTAAACTGTGATCTGCATAGCTTGGAGTTTGTGGAGCGGCACTCCCAGGAGGTTCAGTTCTCCTCAGTGGGCAGAAACTGGCTTAGAGGGCAGGAGATCATCCTGGACAGGGAGCTTCTAGGCCTGCTCTTCGTGCATCCCTAAAGCACACAGACACTGGTGTGCTGCCAGCGTGGAAAAGCCTCGCCTCCTTGACAGGATCCCTGTAGGGCATCTCTTTGTCATTCTCTGCTGCATTCTCTCCATGCCTTATCCCGACGAGTGTGGCTCAGAGGCGCAGAGCTCTTGGCTCGCACACCCACCAGGAGATGTGCGCCGCCGCCTTCTCGTTCTGCAAAGCGCTTTCCTCCAGCTGCATCGTGTGCCGGGGCAGGAAGGGGAGCGCTCGCCTCCCGCCAGCGTGTGCCAGGGCCCTTTGCCCTCTCGTCCCCTCCTGCCAGAGGGAGGACAGGGACCGTGGCTGCCTTCCACCCTTCTTTCCAGACTCCTCTGCTGCCGGTGGCTCCCAGAAGCCCAGTGTCTCTGGCACAGGCGTTGCCCTCTCTGCTGTAGGAAACCATGGTTTGGTGTCATGGGAGGGGGGGAGAAGGAGCACAGGTGCTCCCCAGGAGCGGTCCTGCCCGCTGCAGATGGAGCCGGGCCCTGAGACACTTCTGTTGCTGCCCTCCCAAGCCCCACTAAGTGCCTGTCACCAGAACTCGATTCCTTCTGCATCTCCTGCCGTGTTTGGTCATTCCTCGCTGCCTCCACTCAAGGAGCAGCTTGTAGTTGCAGCATATGTAAGTGTTTGCAGGGTGAGGGAGGGCGGGGGGAAAAGGGGCCATCTCAACAGTTTTTGTTCTTAAATGGTTTTTGGTTTTTTTTCCTTTTTTTTTTTTTTTTTTTTAAAGTGAATGTATTTGATTGTTTAGAAACTTTCCTGACCTTGTTTTTAAGTGGGTTGGTTTGAAAGCTGTTTCACGGTGACCCACTACCGCTTCTCTCTGGAGATACGATGTTCTTTTAATCCTACAATGATGTGTTTGTAGGGGAGGCCTGTCCCCCCGCGGCATGCTGGTAATGCTCACTTGTACCAAGTCCTCTTGCACTATAATCGTACGTTGGACTCTTCAAAAGGGCAAAGATAAGGGGTGGCTTTTTTTTTGTTTTTAACAAGGAGAAAGGAAAATAAAGCAGGTGAACAGCAAATCCTGTGCTTGAGGAAAGGGCTGTCCCCAGGGAGCTGGGAGGTGACTAGGAGACACGAGCCAGACTGAGCCAACCATGCTGTGATAGGAAGCAGGGCATTAAGCCTACCTGGGCAAACTCCTCTCCTCGCCAGAACTCGTTAGCAGCTGGGAGACCCCAGGGGCGCAAGGGGGGAGGGCTTTTGGGCCACACAGCGGGGGGCACCCAGCGCCACACTGGCCTCCCCAATGTAGCTCTCCCACGGTGTGGCCCACCAACGTTGCGATGCAGTCTTCTGAGGTATCAAGTGAGATGATTATTATTTTTTTTTCAATAAAACATTGCACTGCTGCATTGTTCTCCGTTAATAGCCGTATTTGTTACCTCTTCTTGACAATATCGCTTGTATTTTCTTTTCCTTTGCTGCTTTGGGCTTTCTTGGTAGCCCTTCCCTCCCGTGAGAAGCTCTGAGCCTCCTCTGAGGGGACGATGGACCGTGTGGAATCCCTGGGGACCTTCTCACCACGTGGTGCTTTACAGCCATGGACAGTTCAGCCCCGCAGAGCTTGGCCAGGGCATGGTGGCACCAGTTTCTCTTGTCCCTTTGCCTGCACATTCC